CGGCCTGGGCCGGGGGCAGCGCTCGCCGCAACCACTCGCACAGCCCCGGGAGCCCCCACGGCCGAAGGGGGAACACCGGTGGCGGTGCCTGCTCCAGCACCTCCCACGTCTCATCCTCCGGACTCAACGCGGCCACGCGCTCCGGGTCCCCCCGGCCTGATTTCTCCACACCGACAACCTGCTGCAAACTCTCGCTGCCAGTTTTCCCAGAACTTTCCCCACCGCCTTCTTTCTGCGTTCCAGGGTCACGTTTCTCCTTTCCCTCACTGGGTGCATTACCCAGTATCCCTCCGCCCGCATTCTTTAAGCTCTCGCCGCCAGGCTTCTCCACCTGGCCTTCTTCTTCCAGAAACTCCGGATCCTCGCCCTCGCCATCTGTGCGCACGCAGACCAGTGGAGCATCTAGTGGCACCAAGGCCCGGACTTGGGCCCAGTCCTTCTCGGTGGGGGCCCCAGGGGTGACGAGGACGAGGGCGTCGTAGTGGGTCGGATGGGAGGCGGCAGCTGCTTGGGTAGTGCCGGCAGGGCCCAGAGGCACAGTCCAGAGCACCACGTTGCGCCGCTCTGGGGCCGGGCACGGAGTGGGCCCCGTGGGCGCTGAAGCAGGCGCGGCACCCGGGTCGCCAGGATCCAATCCGAGCAGCACGTCTAGCACAAGGCCCGTGTCAGCCATGCCGGCCACAGCCAGGTCCAGCTGTGCGCTGCCCAGGCGCTCCAGGCCCGCGCGCACCCACGACAGTGCCGCCTCCAGGCCGCCAGTCTCGAAGGCCTCGCGCACAGCCTCCAGCTCTGCTGCGCCCAGCACCTCGAAACCATCCTGGGCCGGGGGCAGGAGCCTGCGGGGGCAGGAAGGATGGAGTTAAAGACAGAAGGGGCGCTTCGCGAGCCGAGCCAGGGGTCGGTGACTCAAGCCTGTCATCTCAGCCCTTTGGGCGGCAGAGGCAAGAGGACTCCCTGAGCTCAGGGGTTCGAGCCCCGCCTGGGCAACTTGGTGAGCGCTCCTCTCTACAATAAATTAAAAGATAGCTGGGCTCGGTGGCTCAGCCTATAATTCTGCGCCTTTGGGAGGCTGAGGTGAGTGGATTGCCTGAGCCTGTGGGTTCGAGGCCCGCCTGGGCAACTTGGCGAGACCTCATCTCTACCATAAATCAAAAATCAGCCGGGCGTGGTAGCGTGCGCCTGTAGTTCCAGCTACTCGTAAGGCTGAGGCGGAAGGATTGCTGGAGCCCAGCAGGTTGAGGCTGTGGTGGCCGGGAGCGGCCACTGCACTCCAGTCTGGGTGACAGAGTGAGACTCCAACTCAAAAAAAAAAAAAAAATAAGCCAGGCATGGTAGAGCACACCTATAGTTCCAGCTATTCAGAAGGCTGAGGCGGAAGGATTGCCTGAATCCAGCAGGTCGTGGCTGTGGTGGCCATGAGCGTGCCACTGCACTCCAGCCTGGGTAACAGAGTGAGACTCCAACTCACAAAAAACCCAAAAAACAAAAAAGGACTGGGCTATGGTGACAAGGGCGGAGCTTTCCATAGAGGAAATGGGAGCAAGAAAGAGAGGGTGCCAGATGGATGGCATAGCCAACAGAAACCATGTGGGGCTGGGTTGAGAATATGGGAGGGACTTAGCTGTGATGGGGCCTTGGTGATTGGGCAAGTTGAAGTGAGGCTCCAGGACACATTCTTTGCCCCCGGGGTTTTTCTGGTTAAGAAAAGGCCTTGTTGGGTGGTCAAACCTCCCTGGAGGTGGAGCCTAGAGCAAAGTGGGAATCACAACTGTATTGTGGCATAAACAAAAATCAAGCACTATTGGCCATGGACAAGGTCTCTCCAAGGGCGCTCTTCCCAGATGCTGGGCCTGGGGAGGTCCATGAGAGAAGTCTCATCAAGGAGATCTTACCAAGCGGGTGTGGCCAAGGTGACACAGGGTAAGCAAGCCTGAGACTAAGACCTCTCCGGGTCTCACTTTGACAGTCAATAAAATGAGACAGATGGCAGTTGGGGTAGAAAATTCAGAAGGGGCCGGGCACAGTGGCTCACACCTGTAATCCCAGAACTTTGGGAGGCTGAGGTGAGAGGACTGCCTGAGCTCAGGGGTTAGAGACCAGCCTGGGCAACTTGGTGGGATCTCATCTCTACAACAAATCAAAAAAACTAGCCGGGCGTGATGTCACATGCCTGTAATTCCAGCTACTTGGAAGGCCGAGGTGGGAGGATGGCCTGAGCCCAGCAAGTCGAGGCTGCGGTGGCCGGGAGCTTACCACTGCCCTCCAGCCTGGGCGACAGAGTGAGACTCCAGCTCAAAAAAAAAAAAAAAAAA